CGGGTTTTGATGCTAAAATCAGCTGAGCTTCGAATGATTTAGTATAGATTGATTATAAATTTGATATAAAAATGATGGAATATTTTGATACGATAAGTTAAATTCAACGAATGATGATAAGAAGCAAACAGTGGTTAAAAAAGGATCAGATCGATACTATGGATGCCAGGTAGTGAAGATAAAGAGGAATGTTGAACCGACTTTCTCGGAAACGTAACTTGAAGCCAGCACCCTCGCCGAGTGTCGCTCGAAAGATTACGATTGCTTGATTGAGTGCTGACACGACCGTTTGTTTGGGATGCTCAGGGCAACAGAATCTGCAACCTTGATAATCTCAGAATATTTCTTAGGCTGTCAAACGATTGACTGTTCATTCAGGCTGAAATCACCATCGATACTGAAGAAATTCGAATGAGGAGCAAAACTTTCCCTGAAATGCCTCATTCAAAATTGCATCACGTAAACTAACCTGAAACCAGTATTTCTGAGATCCTTTCCTATCTTCCATTCGACGTAATCAACGCAAGTTATTGCACAAAATATATCGAAATCTTCGACGAATTCCATTTCAATTCGTTTATCTGATATTGATTTTTTCAAAAGGGTTATTGCACATGAGAATGCTTCACTTTAAACACTTTGAATTCATGATCAAATTTTTGCTTTAAACCACTTTCACTATTCTCGCAAATCCACGATCAGAAAACTTCTCTGAATCAAATCTCAAAGCTGACAATGAGCAGTAATATTGCAATGCATCTGGATCTTAATATGAGATTAATTGTGAAGTAACTTCAGAGAACAAGCGAATTCGTTTGTAGTCCTCGAAAATTTTCCCCAAAATGGACAGTACATAGAGCGCGTTAAACCTTTATCAGTTTGGATTAGCCAACTGCACTTTTGTCCAATCTCATAGCCCGGATCGGGGTACCCTGGTGATTCTATCGTTTGCCAATCGCCCTTCGCTTTCAACACTCCACCACAATCGGCTTCTGGAATCAGTATTCAGCAACTGTTTTTATTACCAATAGAGATGAAAATTCAGTGATTCATCACGGGTCATTTGGGGCAATTGTGACGAGTATATGGTGATAAGTGTGTGAATCCATTGCAGATGTGAAAACCTATGGAAGTGTATATGCGATTTTCCATGAGAACACATTCGAAATCACTTTGACTCACCGAGCGATTTTTCATTCTTCTCACAAGTTTCACCACCGAAACCAGTCGGACAAAGGCATTTCAAGCAATTGCTCGGATTCATGTAGCCACCATTTTTGCATTTGTTCTTACCCTTGCACTTATCTGAAACTGATCATATCGTTAGTGCTTCAACAGTGATCATTGTTGCTATCAATAATGTAAAGATCAATGATAACCGTCTAATGTGGTTGCTTCATGGCACAAGTGAAAATTTGATAGAATTATGAAATGTCATAGTGTGGAATTATGCGATGGAATGAATACCTTTGCAGTATGCTTCATTAATAATCTTCACATCGAAAAATGATAATTCTTCACGTTGTCCAATCGTTGTTTGATAGAATGGATCTCTAAAATTTTCGTAAATTCACCTGATCATTCCGCAGATCACACATCATCATTCAGCTGCTTTTTTACTTCTTTATTATCGATTTCTGTGGATTTTTTTTACGAATACGATCGAGAGATAAATCCTATGGTCTATAATCTCGGAACCAGGCAGATATGATCTCAATGAATAGCATTATCATGCCCCACAAAACTGCTGTACGATTTTAATCGCCAGTATCACGTCGTGAAATTCATCCAGATTCAGCGATGGAACCAACGTTTTTCGATCAACCTTTCATTCCGTAATCCTTTTGTTCTTATGAAGTTTGAATGATTCTCTTTCAAAAGACTGAAATTTTGCAAGCCAGCATCTGAGTTTTACATGAGTATCAATCTCAGCACAAGCACCGCTCGATGTTATCAACTCTTTAATATCCGTCCCGTCTCACTCACCTTGTCAACAAAGTTTTACTCTTTTGATCAGCACTGAAT